CCTCCTCAACAAGGCGCGTACGTCGTCGCACACCTCATCACTAAACGTCACTGGGCTAAACCCGGCCCCATGCATTCTCCTTGACCAGCGAGCGGCGGTCTCGCGCCTTTCAACTGACTCTGACGGCGCGCAGGCCACCAAATCGACGACGGCTCGACCGGCTGCCCGCTCGAGCATCAACCGCTCGTTGCTGGTCCTGGCGAAGCTCTCGTCCAGCGCCTCGAAGTAAACCCTAAACCATCTCAAGCACTCTTGAAAGCCGTGGACAAAGTCAAGCCCGTCAACCCCAACGTCGAGATCAGCCTCTTCCTCCACGACAGTGATGATCCTCGGTCTCAAGCTCCGGAACGCAGACACCAAATAATCACGCCGGTTTCCAACGGCTTGGATTGAGTGTAGAGTGCCAACACAGTTGACGGCCAGGGCCTCATCGTCTCTGATATCCAGCTCTGATAAATTCAGCTCGGAGAGGTCGCCCGAGTGATGGACGGCGTTGAATTTGAAAGGCACGCCCATCAATCTGGCGAACTTCTCCATTCTGGCGCCAATTTCCTTCATTACTTTCTGCGCTGGTGCACCAGAGCCGTCGCTGGCTCTGGTGGCGACCACAGTAGTGAGGCGCAAGTGCGGCGTCTCATCGGTTCGGGTGGCCAGGGCCTCGAGCAGCGTCGGCCACTGGGTGCAGTATGTGTTGCTGATGTCGATTATGTGGAGCTTGGGCTCTCCATCGAAGGCTTCCATGATCGCCCCATTGCACGCCACGTGTCCGAAAGTGGTCCAAGGGCTGACCTCCTGGAACTTGAGCACCATTTTTCTGGTGGACTCGAAGGAGCATGTTTTCTCCGAGGCGGAGATTAGGGTTCGGTAGCAGCGGTCACCGGAGTCGGTCATGCGGCTGAAAAGAGCCTGGAGGAAATAGGAGGTGAGCTTCTGGTCGGTGTCGCCGTACGGGCTGCCGAGCTCGTTGAGCATCCACATGAGCTGCTGGACGCGGGAGCTGTTCTTGTCGGCGATGGCCTTGGCGGTCTCCAAGAGGAGCTCCTGGGCCCACTTGCCGTTGGAGAGCTCGAAGTTGATGAGGGCGGGTGAGAAGGAGAAATCTGTGGGTGTGGGAGTGGTTGTGGTGGTGAGGAGAGGGTTTGGGGTTGGAGGGGTTGGGTGGTTTGAGGGGTAGTAGTGTTTGGAAGAAGACGAGGAGAAGTCTTCTTCATCCATGAAAAAGTTGAAGCATTCTTCGACGTCGTCGTTTTGGTGGGGGTAATTAGGGTGAGGGTTTTGATGAGGGGGGCTGAGGAAGGAGGATCTAGAGCTGCTGGAAGTAGTGGTGGTAGTTGTTGGTGTTGAGGTTCTGGTGGTGGTTGAGTTGTTGAAAGATTGATGGTGATCGGATTGGAGACTGACTAGCCTAAACAAGGTATCCATTTAACCTGCGAAGACCCACATCAATAAACTTAACTTTGAGAAGGAGAGAGAGAAAAGAGAAGGAGAGAGAGAGAGTGTATGTGCTTTGGGTTGTTCGGGGACAGCAGATAGATGGGTCTTTGTGTTTTTAACTGTAGGAGACTGGGGGATTGAAAATGATTAGGATATCTTGAGGTTGGATTTTAGCTGGGTTAATTTCAATAACATAGGTTATAGGTAGGAATGAGGAGGTTTTGTTGGATAAGTAAAAAGAATATTGGCACCAATAAACTAATATCCATGACAACATTGAAAAAATAACTAATTATATAATATGTTATGCTATTTTTATACTATTGATTAGATGAAAATTTGTAATTAAGTGTCTCACAACTTGACATGTTTTACTAATTAAGCTTTACATGAAATGTAGGAAATTAATATGATTAGTGCATTATCTTGCCAAGAGGTGGATGATGAAGGCAATTGGGGAATCTTAAGTGGGTAACATTTGCTTTGCTTTTCTTTTGGTGTAATCGATGAGGAATATGTAGTGGGGTTGGTTTCTTTTATAGCTTAGCTTATTCTTCTTTATGGGTCTTTTTTTTTCTTTCTTTTTTTAACATGTATGGATGGACCAATCCAAGACTGAGTGAAATTATACTTATAAGTTTTTGGGTTGAACACAGAATGTGGAATGGACTGAGCTATAGTGTTTAGAAATAGAATTCCAATCTGACAAAAAGATGAAAGAAGTCTGAAAAAAAGTTAACAGGGTCTAGATCACCAAATGGCTAGTGGATTAGCTTTTCATACTCTCTCTCTCTCTCTCTCTCTCTCTCTCTCTCTCTGGATTGGAATAGTTTTAGTGGGAGCAGGCGTGCCATTTGGGTTTTGGGGGGAGAGAGATGGAGACATAAGTAAAGCTGCCGGCGTGCATCATCATCATCATCAAAGCCACCATCACAAACCTTCAAAAAAATAATAATTAACCCACTCACATTCACATTTCCTTGCCCCCCAAGTTCCAAAAAGCCTTTCCCCCTTCAAACCCCGCCAAAACTCCCACCACTTTTTCCTTTCTTAGCTGTTACATTATCAGCCCCATACACCAATGTCTCATATCTTAATCTAGGTAATAACACCAAAATGTACCCTTCACCAAAATCCAGGGGGCATGCCTAGCCTTCCACTTCTTTTCCCCACTTTTCCTTTCTTTTTTTTTAGCCACTCATGATGAGATGTACATTTGATTGTTTATAAGCACACATGCTCTCTAATCTCACCCACCCCATAACACCACCAGGCTAGCTATAGCCCTGCTAGGCCTTTGATTTCTCTAGATTACCCAACCATCATTGTTCATAGATTTACTCATTGTATAGTGTGGTACAGTTCCAAAATCTCAAGAACAAAACCCTCTAGGCCAATCTGGTTCTTTATATACATACATCTATATATACATATATATATATATATATATGATTGCAACCCAAGTCCCCAAGTCAAGTCCCATCTTGATTTTTCCATTGTCCTAACCTTGTTGTCTTCAAGCTCAAACATAATTCCTTCTAGAGAGAAAATCTTTGTCTCCTCTTGGCAGAATAGGCTAGCTAGTTCCTCAAGTAATATATATTAAAGATTAGGAAAATTATATAGTTCTTGTTCTTATGTCAATTGTCAAGGTGAGTTATAATTTTCATATGTGGATTCTTCTTGTTCCTGGTTTTCTTTCATGAATCATTAGGAAAACTCCATGCTTGGACTCTGTCCCTTGTTGAGATTGAGAAGTGGGTTTAAGGAAGTTTTCTTGGGAGCCATCATCATTTTTTAACATATAGCAAATAGTGGATTTTTCCATCTTGGCATCTTCCCCTTCGAGTGTGGCCAACAGTGGAGAATTTGCCTTGGAAAAGCCACTCAATTCCCAAGAATTAACAGAAGATAATATTCCCTCTGAAGAATTCCAACCCCACTGGCAAACATATGGTAAAAAAAATTTAAAATAATAATAATAATAAACAATGAACATGATTTAATATAGAATTTTCCATAAATAATTATTTATTTGCTTGGCCCATTACGGTATATTTCTCATAATATAAATTAGTAAGGAGAGAAGGGAAGAAGACAAACTTTGAATTTGAAGGCTAAAATTAAGGGATGTTCTGTTTTGTGATACCTCATTGTTTGGTTTTAATTAGTATTATTTGTTATTATTACATGACTAATATAGATGAAATGTCACTGCCACAATAATAATTCAAAATTAGTTTCGGATTAGGATGGCGATGTGGCAACTTGTTATGTTCTTAGTCATGAGTTTAGAAAACCATTATCTTTTCTAGTAATTTAAAAAAAAGACTTGAACGTAGATTATGTTTGTCATGACTCACGAGTTTATGGAAATTAAAAATAATTATAGCTCGTCGTCCGTCTCCGTCCATGGACCACAGTTTAATTATCGTGGTAATTAAGGTGACGATTTACAATTAAGTGGCATGAGACAACTAGTTATCAAGTTGTTGTCATGACCATGTCTCGGCCTTTTTCCTAGTCATTCTTCGGAACTAAATATTTTAAGAGATTATTATTCTTTTTCTTCTCTTTGTTGATGATGTTGAGTGACCCTACTTGTCGGGTACGTAATTGTTATCAAAATTCAGTTTGATTATTATTATGAAGTCATGTGGGTAGTAATTTAACTACATGATTAGTCTCTTGTCACGTTCACGGCAAATGATTTTTTTGTTTGTTTTAAAGACATTTATTTATTTTATTAGAAGAAATGTAAAACTTAATGAAAACTAACACCCAAAATAGCCAAAGAAAAGAAATGAATGTTGTGACCGAAAAGAAAAAAAGATTACTTGCGTGTCGAGTCCAAATTAATTACACGTACTCTATGTTATCCAATATAACTAATTTTGTATAGAATTATTTAGAATTTTGAGTCTCTTAACTTGTTATTTATGCATTAACAAACACAATCTCTATTTTCACATACCGTTGTGAAAACACAATTTGTAAATGCAGTAGATGATTAGATGCTTGAAATACGATATCAAATTGCAGAAATGCTTTGATGAATTCAAGTGCTTTTCATTCTCTCTCTCTCTCTCTCTTTCAAGTTCTAATATATATCTTGAGCTCTGCAACTTTTATCATCAATTTATGGATTCGTAATTCTGAAAAGGAGATATTGTTTGAGCTCCATGTAGTGATTCAGAGATTTGTTCCCTGCTTCTGCCCGCTGTCATCAGTAGAGAAGCAGCATGCATGTACTTAATTATTAGACCAACCTTCTCAACAATATTTTAATATCCTAAAATCAATTAGTTCTTCTAGCTAGTTTTTTTTATTTTCATTTTGGTAATATTAGTTGCAGGTAATTTGTTGTAGCATAGCTGGGATGGTGTAATGAGTGGTTTTTTGATCTCTCTCTCTCTCTCTCTCTCTCTCTGTGCGGATGTAGATAATGCTCCAATTGAACACCTAACGGAGAGAGGAAGGGAGAGAGTTAAAAATCCTTAGACAAAATCTTAGTTTGATAAATATTTCAATTTTGATGGATGTGTTCATGATTTAAACAATGTCAATCCTGTAATTCAAAACTTCTGTTGTTGCTTTGAAGTACAATCATAAACAGTTTTTATCCCTCCGCACGCTCCACATCTGCTCTTATTATACCTCAAAAGAACAGATTACAATGCTCTTCCTACTCGCTCATCCAAAACATTATCTACATTTGGTACAATACAACATTTGGGACATTTACCAATTACCATGCAGAAAAATTATTGTAGTTTGTTGTGGAAACTCCCAATTTCCTTTTCTTTGTTGAAGCAAGCTCCGTCGAACCAGCATTAACTGCAGCAGATTCAGGTAGAGCACTCCTTGCTTTCAAGTACTTCCCAACACCACCACCACCGGCAGATCCAGATTCTACTGTTCCTGTGGTCGGATTGCTATACCAAGACCCAATCTTGTCCTGAGTAACAACAAATGAGTTGCGTTATTATTGTAAAAGAGGGAGTAAGATACGCACCAGGACCAATTTAAGGATCTAATAACAAACCTTATCTTCATCCTCAGCTTTCTCCTCAGCTTTGGCCTCTTCTTCCTCTTCATCAGGCTCTGTGTAAGGATTAACAAAAATAGTGACACCTGTTATCTTAATTTCCTCCTGCACAAGACACAGCAGAAAAATGGAAGTGAGGCCTGTGAATGCAAGAGCTTTAACATAGTTGAAACAATATTCAGCAAGTTGTATGTTGACCAACATGATTGAATGATTGAAACCCAAGGAACTCTTTCAGCTACTACCGATAATAAGATGAAAATATATAGATATTTACACAGCCGTGTGCATAAACCCATGCACGTTCAACGACAGATACACACACAAAGTAGGCAATGATGGAACTAGATTTGGACCATATATGTTATAAAATGGTATTGAGAACCTACAATCTTTTGTTGTGGCTTTCCATACCGTCTATGCCAGTATAATTAAGACCAAGAGTGACAATTTAAGAGAGTCAATTTTAAACACGTATAGGTATCTAGTGTTGAACACGAAATTAAATAATAAACTTACCAAAGGTTGGTCATTGTCATCAACAGGAACCTTTTCCATTGTTGCCAGTGTTGTCAAGCCACCAACGACTCCACCAAAAACCGTGTGCTTAAAGTTCAAATGATTTGCAGACTTGTAAAGGATGAAAAACTGGGAGCCATTAGTGTGGGGCCCACTGTTAGCCATACTGACAACACCCCTTCCAGAGTGAAGTAACTTGGAGTTCAATTCATCATTAAAAGGCTTTCCCCATATAGATTCTCCTCCTTTTCCGGTACCAGTAGGATCACCACCTTGAATCATAAAATTCCTATATAATAAAAGAGAATAATAGATGTTTAACTGTGGTCATATTGATCAACAAACGACAAAATACAGAACTTAAACTAGAACACTCCACCATACCTAATGCTTCTGTGAAAAGCTACTCCATTATAATAGCCACGTTCACAAAGAGTTATGAAGTTCTCGCAAGCCCTGGGGGTTATATCACAGTGTAGCTCAATGTTCAAATCACCATGTGTTGTATGTAGCTGTACATATCCTTTCTTTTTCGGATTCTTCTCAACTTTGACATATTCAAATTCATTTTCAGTAACAGGATCAAAGGCGGTAGAAGTGAAGGATCTCGAAGCAGCACCAGTAGTGAATTTGCTCTTTACCTGGAATTAATACTCGTGTTATAACAGACATATAGCAAAGATAATTGATGCTGGAAGAAGAGTATTCTATTAAAAGTAGAACTGAATTCATTTTAATAATCATACTGGAACTCCTACCATTTAGAATTGGGTAGAAGATATTATAAATAAAATTCACTGACCATCTTTGCATTCACTGGTGCCCTCTCACCAGCCTTGTGCATTGCTATTCGAGCTGCAGTTTTATCACTTGATGTGGCTTTTGCGGCAGCAGCACTTCTTCCATGCACTGAAGCAGAAGCAGCATCTACAATACTGTACGCCTGAGGAGCCTCCCCATTCGAATTTGACTTAGGATCCTCTTTAATACGTGATCTTGCAGCTAAAATGGCTTCAAGTGCAGCAGCCCGTTCATTTTGTGCCTTGCTGCCACCTCCTCCATGCAGAGCAGTTTGCCTTCCTTTTTCAGTTCCAAGCTCTTTGAGCATCTGCTTGATATCTCCAGTTACATTTATGTTATAGGTTGGGTCGGAACTCATTCTCTTGAATTCTGAAGAAGAGAAGTAAAGAAACAAAAAATAAGATAACACAATAAAAATTAATTACAAGAAAAAGAATACCTCAGTTGACCCACAATGGTAATGAAGCCTCTAGCTCACCTTCATCATCAATTTTCAAACTATTTTTAACATGATCGAATTCCACAAGAACCTTGCTATCAAGTGCATTGGGATTCTGCAAAGACCATCCATAAAAATCTGTGAGATATTGAAGCATAAAACAAAAACTTACAAGAATTTAGTACAACAAAACAGGATTTATCTGAAACGTATCATGTACCTGAATGGTTATCAGATCTTGCCTAGAAAATGGTTCATCTGTGAGGAGCTCCTTCCAGTTCTTGGTCTTGATGTTTAGTTCTTTAACTGCCTACAAAGCAAAAGCAAAATGATTAAAGTCCACAAAACAGCTATATGTATGACATACACATAGAGAAAAATACATTAAGCAAGAGCAAAGGGGAACGGTAAAAAGAAACAAAAATAAAAACCTGTGAGATCACCGGTGATGAGGACCAGAGAAGGGTTGATCATGGAGAGAGCAGGCCCCACAAAGTTCTTGAAGTCAAGTGCTCTGTCAGGATGGTGGACACTGAAATGAAGATCAGAAAGCTGAACCACCCACACTAGTGACTCTGGGCCTCCCTTTACATCTATCACTCTCCTGTGCGAACTGGATTTTGAAGACGAGAATTCGAATTCTTCACTTGCTGCATAGACAGTGAGGCATAAAAAGAGCTCTAGCATCAGAATGGCACTCCCCATTTTGTTTTCCCCCGTAATCTTTAAATCCTCCACTAAATAGCTTTCTTTTGTGTCTTCAGGAGATTCAGAAACAGGACAAAGTCTTGTCCTTGGGCCTTGGCTATCTGTAACTTAGAACAAGAAAGAAAGAAGCAACAGATTACATACAACAACTGAATACGTTAGACATATGCAATATAGGTATAGCCGAGCGGCTATACTATATAAATATTCGAATATATTTGAGAAGTATAGCCGCGCGGATATACTATTTAAATATTTGAATATATTTAAGAAGTATAGCCGGGCGGCTATACTATTTTGACACTCGGAAATAATTAAGAAGTATAGCCGACCGGCTATATTATTTAAATATTCGAATATATTTGAAAAGTATAGCATAGTCGTATATTTAAGGCAAAACGATAGTCGTAGTCCCTGTGGTTTCCAACTTTTACCACTAAGGTCCCTGTGGTTTCAATTTCGTCACTTTTGCCACTGTGGTTTAAGAATCCAAGCAATTCGAGGACACTTCTCAATTTCCGTCAGATTCCTTTTAGTTCTGTTAGGGCATCAGCTATTGCCGTTAGTTATTAAATAAGTGGAGGGGCATTAAGGTAAAATCCCCTGTAATTACAAAAACAGTAAAATATTAATAATATTAATAATAACAAAAATAATAAAAAATAAAAAATGAAGAGCCTTGCATTGCTCTATAGTAAGTTGCAGAGTGAGTGACTGCGTCTTCTCTGAGAAGCCAGCACCCAAAAATATTCAGAGAAAAAGAAAAGCTTTGAGAGAGCTCAGATTGTAGTAGAATACAATACAAGATTCAATAATTGCCTACTTCTCCAAGCCAAAGCCATCATTTTTGCTATTTGGATGCTGAACCTCATACTGGTCATCATCACCACACCAACTCCATACTTTTTCCATTAAAGCTTTCACGCCATTTCCCATGAGAAATTTGTAGCTTCCTCTCACGGAAAAGTGTTTTCTCCAACCTCTTCTTCCCTAAAAGCTCAACCTTTCTCTCTGCTATAAAACCCACAACACAAAGCCCTCTTCTTTCACACCAAAGCCTTTTCTCAACCAATCATCCTCTCTCTCTCTCACTCCTTCTCAGCCAGAAAACCACAGAACCTAGAAAAACGAATTAAACCAGAAAACCCAGAAAAAAGAATTAATCAAACCCAGAAAAACAAAATAATTAAAGAAATAAATTAACGAAACCCAGAAAAGAAAAAAAAATCCAGCTTTGGTTTGATTTCGAGGAGTTGAAGAAGAATGGCTAATGGGGTTTGAAAAAGGAATGCACAGCTTTGATCTCTTTCTCCATTTCTCCCCAATCCAACTTTGACCCCACTCTCCCTTTCTCCCTTCCTTAACCCACCCTCCACCCTCTGTCCCGTCAGCCTCCAGCCATTGCCTCCCAAACAATCGCGCCTCACCTCAAGATCTCCTCGGCTCAACCCCAGAAAACAAATGCTGGATCGCTCCTCACCTCTGTGCGACTTCTCGGAGGCGAAATCGTGAATTAAGAGCTGTGAATGTCGTCGACCACCAGAACATCCGACGGGTCGAACTCCGCGGGTCCCACACCCCCACCCACCCTGACGCACCTCTCGTCTCTCTCTTTCCCACCCCCGACGCACCTCCATCCCCAATCAACCCCAATCTGCCCCCATATTTGGAAACCCAGATTTGGAACCGAACTTAAAAAGTCAATTACAACTGGATTTTAACTTGAAATCCAAATTTAAAACAAAAACAAAAGAAATTGATTAACTCCGGTAAATTGAAGTGTTTTGGTGAGAGTTTGGGAGAGAGATTGGCTGGGTTGGTGGGGTGTGGGAGGGGGCACTCGTTGCTGGACGAAGAGTTTCGATTTGACCGTAATGCCCCTCCATGTGAGGGGGACGTGCTGATGCCCTAACAGAACTAACATAAATCTGACGGAAATTGAGAAGTGTACTTGAATTGCTTGGATTCTTAAACCACAGTGGCAAAAGCGACGAAATTGAATCCACAGGGACCTTAGTGGTAAAAGTTGGAAACCACAAGGACTACAAGTGTCGTTTTGCCTATAATTAAGCCCATAAAATTGATAATTATGGATTACTATTCTTTTACTTTATCAAATTGATGAAATGAATCATATCATAAGTTATTGATTATATTCCACGGGAGCTTATCTGATAAGAGAATATTTCTCGGGGGAAAAAAGAAGAACATATGTACATATTTTGTACTTTAAAACCAGGAACATATTCTGCTATTGATCAAATGTGCAAATCATCAGGCAAACAGGAATATGAATTCCAAATAATATATAACTTCAGGGAGATGACATAAAGAAGAAGAACAATCTGCACATTTCACTCCCTCACCCAACCTTAATAAAATAGTAACTGCTGGTATGCATATGGCAATAATTGTTTTCCGCTAATGAAAATGGCGGCGGCGGAGATTACAACCAGAGTAAAACCCAGCAGCTGCCCAAGCACTACCAAATCAAGGTCAGCCTGCCCAATCAGTCCCCAAATTATCTGTACTTTGTTTTTCATCTCTTTCAATTTAATGGGTTTGTAGTTTCTTTGTGAAATAAACATTTTGTGGGATAATAATTTGAAGTATATATATGTGCATGTGTACATGTGCCTCTTTGTGGCCAATTTGTGCAAAACTAAAGTAGCAAGCTTGATGGCAGGCACAAAAACTTTTGGATGAAATCATAGGAAAGAGTTTGGAGATTGTGAATGATCCCCTCATTCATTTACCAGATGATGAAGCTGTGGTTGATGAAGATGAAGGTTGTATTCGCTTGTTCAAAAATGCTCCTCCTGGGATAGTGTTTGATCATGTAGGTATGTAATTCCCATCAAATGTTTTATTTGTAAACAAGGGATTGGGAGATAATCTTGATGTGTCCACCTACTGCTTTATTATTGTTGAGATAATAGCTGAGTGAAACTGCCTGAATAAGACCTGACCTTTTTTTTTCCCTCTTCTTACTGAGGACCCAAATATTTGATTTCTAGATTTGAGTAAAGAGTAATCTTGGAGCAGAAAACTGTTCTTATAAATGAAATGTAATTGGGTTTGTGATATCATCCAGTTACTGCTAATTTTTAGCCAAGTTGTGTCAGGATAGGATAATTTTTGAGTTTTAACATGCCTTTTTTTAATGTTTGAATTGGAGAGTTTGCCATTCTCTGGTGCCATCCTACTGATGTATTTCCACACTGCCTATTGCCAAACTGTTTGCATGATTAACTGAAAGTTATGTGAATGCTTTCAGATGAACAACCATTGAGAAAGAGACCAAGAATTCTTCCTGGAAGAGAAATTAATGAGAAATCAAAGAAGGTTTGCTTATTTATCCATGAATCTTAGTTTGAGTCGGTGATTTCTTGTTTACACAATGGCTCTACTCTCCTTATCCATTTATGGTATTGTCTAAATGGATCGCAGTTTAGACGGCGACTCGAATCTGTTGTTGTTAATGGGAAAGACATAATGGCTGCAGCAAGAGATAAATGCCAGAGATCATTGTCTAGGCTAGAAGCTAAAGATGAAGCAGCAAAAGCAGCAGCCAAAAGAGAAGAGGAAAGAGTTGCTCAACTGAAGAAAATAAGGGGTGAAAAATGGCTACCTTGTATTGCTAGAGAAATGCAACTAAAACGTTGAAATACCTTGCTGGTTAACTTACTTTGAATTGTCGATTCTTGTATTGTCCTTCGCTTCGCTTCTTCTTCGTGTTTGATGAAGTAGAAATCCTAGACAAACAAATGTAGACTAATTTTCACAAGCAATGTGGCATGATGTTTTGCTACCTGAGAATTCACGAGGTCCATTTCGCAAGTTGAGCTAGGCACGGTTGGATTTAGATGAGTTTTTTCTCTAAATTCTAGTAAAATAAGTCCACAAGTCATTTTTAGCTCCTGTAATTTGAATTCCAACCAATTAAAGGATGATTTACAATTTTTGGTCAACTTACTGAAGTATGGAGGGGTATTTTGGTCCAATCTTACAGCCTCTCCCCAACCATTCCCACAGCCACCCAACAGACCCGACAAAGAGAACGAATGAGTTGGGGGGTTGGTCGTGCTCGTGGCTACAGGGCAGGGAGAGTTGAGTTAGAGCACCTCCAGCGTGGGAGCCCTGCCTGGGCAAAAGGCCCCCCGCCAGCCCATTTCCCTCTCCAGCGCAGGAAATCCAGCCCGGGCAAGAGCTGGGTCCCACGAGCCCAGGAAAGCCCACAGGCAAATTCAGCCCGAGCTACTGCCTGGGCAGGATTATGCAATGCTGATGTCATAATGACGTCAGCAACCAAAAAAATTTGCAAAAAAATGGGAAAAAAATACCAAAAATTCTAGAATTTTTTTTAATAAATACCTGAGCATATTCTTTACTTCCCACACCAAAAACTCTATACAAATTTATTTATTCATATCTCATGTGAATAGTATTTGCCCTTGCCCTAGCCTCCAAGGGTGGAACCAACTAAGGCAAGGCTGCCACTATTCATGTGAATAGTGGCAGCCCTTGCCTTGCCTTAGCCTTCATGGGTGGACATGCTCTTAAGAGGAGGTTGGGTGGGTAGAGGGAGAAATTGAAAATGCTCGTACGCACATGAGGGTGTAACTGTAGGAGACCAAATTGAAATTACCCACATAATTATTCAATTATTGGGAGGTGCTAACTTGCGATTAATTTGGGCGTATGCAAGCCTAGCATGTAAATGTGGACAAGTGTCGATTTGGATCAGCTTTATATTCAAATCCTAGTATCCGACCAAAAACAAATATTCAAACTCTTTAAAATTGAGGACGAGCTCCTCCTCAAAATAAATAGAGTTTTGATACTTATAAAAATAAAAAAAAAATAAAAAAGAAAAAGTTAAAGGAATTTAAAAGAAAAAATTAGTTAGAGAAATATATGACAAGTTTCAAAACTCCATTTGTTTTGAGGATGCTCATTCTCAGTTTTAAGGAACCAACTTTTTTCATATTCAAATCCAAGTAAAATTATTTAGGGAGACTTATAAATAAACCCGAAATGGGTACAGTATTTATAAAGAATGACAAAATTAAAGTGTTTGGACAATAATGCCCTTATTCATTTTTATATTGCCTAAGGAGTTTTGCTTCTTCTTCTTTTCAGCTGATGCCGTATGGAGCCAAAGGGTTTGGATTTATCTTGCTTTGGAATGCTACATCTTTTTGCTGTGATGGTCTCTTCACATGGGATGATGATGCTGATGCTTCTTCTATCATGAGGGCTTCACATGGAGTTCATGCTTCCAACATGTTATCTATATTATGTAGATCTTTTTCTCCTAAGCTATTCCAGTATGCATTGTCGTTGTCTTCTGCTGTAATTTGTTCTGCTATCTGATTATAGATTCCATCAAAAACTTTTGCTCATGTTGTGCTTTTCCTAAATTCATATGTGTCATCAGGTCTCCTTGATGTAGAATCTGAATAAATCTTGATAAACTTGGATTGATGAAGGAGGGTCAGACGATCATCATTGAACAATTGTTGCTCAGCTATAATTGATCCTCTATATTCTTGGTAGGAATCCCTGTTTTTGCTGATTCTGCCAGACTAAGCAGTTCCATAAAAGAAATAATAATTCTATGTTGTGCTCTGTCTGGGTAAATGTCATCCTCAAACCATTCTGGGGGTATGCTAGTGAAATCTAATTTTACGTTTTTCCAAAGAAGAAGATAAAAACTTATGACTTCTTTTAATTTTGAGGAAAATGAATCTAAATGATCACTATCTTCAATATAAAGTTGACCTAAATAACCATGCTCTGCTAAAAATGTTGGAGTAACTATGATAGTTTTTTGTTTATGCTCTAAATGCAGTTCTCTATATTCAACCATGTTAATACTAGCTAAGTAGATAGTATAATGAGAACTGCATTTAGAGCATAAACAAAAAACTATCACAGTTACTCCAGCATTTTTAGCG